GACAAAATGCAGTCTCATAATTCGACACACAATTTAGTGTACGACAGAAAATTGTTGAACTTTACTTAAATTGGCTGTCGTGTAGTCAATCTGATTTGCACAACAAACTAGGGTGTCAAAAAGTACTACGAATAATATATGCACTAAACTTATTACTAGCGGTGATGTTTCAGCTGGGAAGCACGGACGAAAACATGGTAACAGAACATGCTTGACTGGCAATATTTTACAGCATATTGAATTTTATAAACGGCGACAGCCTAGTATTAATCGGCGTGAAATTCAAAAAACAAAATGTCTTGCGCAAACAATAAAAGAGAGAATGGCGCCTTGGACTCAGACAGGTATACATTGTATCAAAAATGTTTATGCTACAGTTATGATGTTTTGATTAGTAGTGATAAAATCAGTGGCAATTTCATTAGGTACTTGCTCTGATGTATCAACATTTACCACAATCTGATCGTCCAATGTTTAGTGAAAACGATTGTAACACCTTTATTGCATTTCATAAACCAAAATAGATATGTAATTCATTCTATAAGGTTGTAATAAAGAATTATCTTATCTTATCTTATCTTATCTAATATTGAACACAACACAGTGTGTATTACGAATGACTGCATTTATTTATGACGAGTTTATTGCTATTGCGCAGACCGCTTTTGCATTTTTTTTAAACAAAAATGTCTAGAATATTTGCAAAAACAAGCAGCTTCGCGGCTCAAGTCATTGAAAATGACACAGTCCCCGTTAAATTTTTGAAAGTTCTCTTTGTGCTTGTCATATTAAAGCAGACGGGTTGTAGCGAGCGTGTCCTTGAAACTTTAGTTCCAAGTGGCGTATACAACAGATTGTTTATTTACATCAAAACACGTGTTCCATGTAGTAGTAATATAGCCAAAAATAAAAACAGCCGTTATTCGGCCATCTTTGATCTGATTATGAAACACACTGATGATATGTATGATGTATGTGCCAAATACGAATGAAAATGGTACATAAATTGTGGAAATATAGTAGTAAGGCCAAAAAGTCAGATGGCTGTCAATCGGCCATCCTTGACCAGATTTCGAAACAAATTGTCATGGACATGCATGTATAAAGTACATTTATGTGCAAAATTTGAATGAAAACTGACAGAGCACGTCCAAGTTACCGCATAAAAAAACACAACAAGATGCCTGCCAGTCGACCATCTTTGATCCAATCATGGACATGTATCCTAACATGTATAATCTATGTACCAAGTTTGAATGAAACAAGATGGCTGCCAGTCGGCCATTTTGAATCGAATCACTAAACCACTGCATGTGCATATGTCCCACATAAGGTACTAGGTACATGCAAAGAATGAACGGAATCAGGTAAGCTGTGTGCAGTTTCAGGAGATCCGGAATACAGTTGGCAAATTAACTTTATTTTTTTGATGGTGAGAAAACATATTTATTTCTCAAAATATAAAAGTGAAATATGAACAAATCTGAGAGAGGTCTACCCAAGGTACATATACACCAAGTATCAAAGCATTCAGGTTTGTAGTTTTCAAGAAGAAGTCGAAAAAGTAAAACATTGACACGGACGACGACGGACAATCACTCATATGATAAGCTCCGCTCGACAAAGCCGACAGCGGAGCTAAAAATGATATATATATAAATATATAGGTATAATGTTTTATATACAGGAGACCAATGGATGATTAACATGAGAGTCAGCAATGAAATAATTAAAATCATTTTACAATCTGCTGGTAATTTTAATTCATTCAAGTTTTTTTTTTTTTAAATTCACATATGCATCAAATTCAAAATGGCTGACTGGACTTTATTATTTGTCATATGTATACATGTACTGCTATATGACAATGGATGTGGTATATGGCATTGGTTTATGGTTTAGCAGGCCTTCTTGGTGTTTTTTGGGAATATTTAAAACATTTTTACCAAAAATAATATTTACTTTCTTCATAACTGCCTGCTTGTTGTTTTGATACTGAACAGGTACCTTGGGCGGACATCTGTATGATTTGCTAATTTTATGATTAATTCTCTCTTTATTAGCTCCGCTGTCGACTTTGTCGAGCGGAGCTTATTATATGAGTGATTGTTCATCGTCGTCCGTGTCAATGTTTTACTTTTTCGACTTCTTTTTGAAAACTACAAGCCTGATATCTTAAATTCTCTAATTTTGGTGAATATTTTTGTCATTTTTGGTAAAAAGTGATATTTTTGACTTCTTGTTAAAAACCAAAAGTCCAATTGCTTTGATATTACATATATAGGTACTACATGTGGACCTTTCTCAGATTTGTTCATTTCATGATGATATCTTTAATTCTCTAATTTTCATGTATATTTTTGTAATGTTTGGTAAAAAGTGATATTTTTGACTTCTTGTTAAAAACCGCAAATCCAATTGCTTTGATATTTTACATATACAGATACTACATGTGGACCTCTCTCAGATTTGTTCATTTTGTAATGATATCTTTAATTCTCTAATTTTGGTGAACATTTTTGTCATTTTTGGTAAAAAGTGATATTTTTGACTTCTTGTTAAAAACCAAAAGTCCAATTGCTTTGATATTACATATATAGGTACTACATGTGGACCTTTCTCAGATTTGTTCATTTCATGATGATATCTTTAATTCTCTAATTTTGATGAATATTTTTGTAATTTTTGGTAAAAAGTGATATTTTCGACTTCTTGTTGAAAACCGCAAGTCCAATTGCTTTGATATATTATACATATAGGTACTACATGTGGACCTCTCTCAGATTTGTTCATTTTCTAATGATATCTTCTGTTCTTTAATTGCCATGTGCATTGCTAACAGCGGAGCTATCTCAGCCAACAGGCAGCTTGTTTATTTTACAAATTAATTTTATTATTATCTCTCAATTTCATTTATATCAAAGTTTTGATTTTATGTCTGTGGTCTCTACGGTGTCTTTCAGTGTTGGTGCATCTGACTTCCCCCATGTGTAGGCTGGTGTCTTGTCATGATCTAGTGAGTAAAAAAAAGCAAATGATATTACTTTACAACTCAAACATCACAGATGTGTACACCAAACTGTACTTGTGCCCAGTACACAGAAATATTGTTTCATCAACAGAATACTAATTATTATTTTGGTCTCTAACAAACAAAGGAGGATCTGCAGAAACATATTGCTGTGACAGTAGTCACATAAGACAAGTGGTCGCTATAGGCAGGTGGTTTCACATAAGTATGTATCACAATGGGAACTCAAAAAAGTAAATATTATTTTGTTTGGAAATGTTTTAACAATATCAGTATACACATCAATAATATATGACTTTTCCTCACACCCCTGTCACAGAGCACAATTTTTAAACATGAAGCAATAATTTACAGAATAAAGCATGCAGTACATTTCTGAATCCGGTTTCCTTGAAAAAAATTTCAATGACCGCAATTTTGATATTTACACATAATTATGAAATCATAAAAAAGATAGCATATAAACTTAAATTCAATCTGAACAACTTTAAGCAAGTTTCTTTATCCTCAAATTTACTGTAGGATATATTAACACTTTGGAAATTGCATGTTTTGTGTCATTTCTTCTTTGCGATTTTGACACACACAATACAAAATTAACTTTCATTTGTCATCCCTAAAACGAAATGACTTGTGTTTCCTGTACATCAATTTTATTATTGGCAACCTCAAAGTATCCTAGGGGTTCTGTGACATTATTGGTTAGAAAAACGTTTGACTGACAGTTATAGAATGGAATCAGTTATAACACTCACACAGTGCAAGAATTTGCTTCTTGTGAGTTCTTTATCGCATATACCATATGGTTATGATATATAGAACATTTAGCAAAACTCATTAGTTAAATTACTGACCAGGAATATCAAATAATTGGTGTTTGAACAAACTAGCAGCACCGTCCACTTTTATTGTACTTCCAGAAATGAAGGCCGCAGCAGGAGACAGAAGAAAACAAACAGCAGCAGAAACCTACAATATATCAACAAAGTAGAACGTTAAAGGTGGTGACATACATGTAGTTGCACACCAGGCAGTCACCTGAGATAATAGATTATTTAAAGGCATATCAGAAGATAACTGTATGAAGTTACAAATGACTGAAAGAAACCTGCAATGATTCATGGGTAATGATCATTACAAAATGGCTTCTACAATGAAAACATTTTCTCTGAATTTAAATGAAGCAAAAAGATCTCCCAGGGTAAATGTTTTTTATAAATATTGTATAAATATTCCATGACTTCATGGAATGCACAGTGTCTCAACATTTTTGGTATACATCAGAGCAATGGCGATAAGTCTAAAGATCATATTTGATGTAGATAAACAGCAGATGAATCATATCCTATACCTCTTCAACTGTTCCTAGTCGTTTAGTCGGCATATCGGGAATACTTCCGGAAAAGATGTCACTGCCTCCATAATTTGCAGCAGCAGTCTCTGAATAAACAGTTCCCTGTGAAAGAAAGGTCAAAGGTCATCACAGATAAAGATTAACTTTTTGCCTATTAATTTTTCTGCAAATGTTTTGATTATTTTGGAACAAACTGATATAATTGCAGATCTATCGGTAGTTCAAAATTTTTTAAGGAAAATATAAATAAAAATGTGTTGGTTACATTTTGTGACAGGTAACAAAAATTAGTGCTCAAAGAACGTTTTAAAAGTTTACAATGAAGAATAGAAGTAAAACTCACAGGTGCCACACAGTTTATTCGTATGCCTTCATGTGCCCATTCCAATGCTAAAGTCTTAGTCATATTGACCACACCTGCCCTGGCTGCACCTGTATGTCTGAAGTATAACAAGTATGAATCCTAACTTCAGTTATGATATTTCAAATCAATAACAAATCATAGGATGCTTAACAACTGAAAATAACAATATACCAATCAGCAATGATTAGTTGTACAATTATAACAGTATACTTCTTGAAAACATTATTGTGATTGGCTGAAAGGTCCCATGTGACCAATGCTAGCTGTGCATACAGATTTTAATGGTATGTTTGTGATATATCAAGGTTACAGTAATCTCACTCAGGTTCAAAGAACAAATAAACAAAACCAGTGAAAATTATGAGAACAGTTAAATTGCTTAATTCTAAGAAAATTATATGAAATCCGTGATTTTCTGTTTACTGTATGATCTTGCGTAAGTTTACAAGTTCAATGTCAAAATGCCCAGAGAATATGGTGTATTTCAGTCAAACCTTAAAACCATACACTCCGTTATTTAGTTCTGTAAATGTCATTGGTTAGAAATACGTTTGATTGACGCAATGCATCATGGGATGAAATTAACAATTATACCCAGTGGGATGGATAACCACTCAGAAAATATTTGATGTCCAAAAATTTTTTATGTTTAACACATAATTTGAATGTGAAAACCCGACACAATCAACCTGAATAATGTTTAGCTACAGTATCCGTCCAAGTTACGATGCAACTTTTAAAACATAGTTATACTGCTCACAAACATGTACTATGATAATACTACATTGATCTTTGTTAATAATGTGACTTCCATATTTAATTTCATGGTTGTCGCTATGGCAACCATGCAGTTTTCATAATTGGTTACCTCATGACAAAAGTGGTTGTCTGGGAAAATCTTGACCTCCGGGCATGGAA